GGGCATTGGCCGGGAACACTGGCATAAAATAGGTTAGCAAAAGGTTACCAATTTTGGGGGGAAGTCTGGGAACCTAAAAACAATAGGAAGCGCTAGAAAATTCTTGCAAAAGCATCCAGCCGAAAACGTAACAAAATCTAGACAAAGCCTAGAGCATTCCTAGGAAAATGCTGGAGAAGCCTTTGAAAATCCCATAAATCCAACAGAAAACGTGACAAAATCTACGAAAAAGCAAGGGCATTGGCCGGGACCACGCCGCGACCAGCCCGGGATTCGAGCCCGGGACCATTTTGGACCGTGCTTATTTTCCCGCGCGGGGGAGAGGGTGCCCCAAGATGTAAATCAATTGGGATGGCAGAATCTTGGACAACCCAGGTCGCCATCACGTCGCAATCACGTCGCTTTTTGGTCGGGATTTCGTCACTGCAACAAAGGTCCGGAGGGGTAGGGGAGGTAAGGTCTAAGTCTAAGGCTAAGGCTAAGGCTGAGGCTAAGGCTTAAGTCTAAGGCTAAGGCTAAGGCTTAGGGCTAAGGCTAAGGCTTAAGGCTAAGGCTAACATCGACAGTCACGCCTCACCCCACGGTGTGGGGTCGGCGGATTGCATATTCTCATAAAGCATCACTTGCAGAAGTCCCAAACTTGGGCTTGCTGACCTACGACAATCGAGTTTAGTACTGTCACTCCGAGACCACTGGCTGAGGTAATGAGGACGAGGCATGGGTGCATGGGTGCCACATATGGCATGTTGCAGACAATATCTCACAAAACTTTGCTGGGGCAGTCCCAAACCTGCACATTGTTGCACTTCATTGCAACTTTACTCGTTCAGTGAGCTTTGTCCAAGATTGGTGGCGAAACAACTGACCCAAGGGATGGGGGGTTCTGCGGGGATTCCATAACATGTTCATCGGTTTCATAACACGTTCAACGGTTTTATGTGGCACCAACTCATTTTTTCCATGGCAAAACATATGGTTTGGAACACATGGTCATGTTTTTTTCGCACATGCCCAAGCATGATAACAGCAGAATTACAAGCAGTTTGCATCCATGCCACACATACAACTCATCATCGAGAACCATTGATAAGCTTCAACATGCACACACATTTTTGAAATATGTTCGCGTAAGTCGATGCCTAAGACTTACGATAACCATTCAAACATATTAAAACATTTGTGTGCAACCTTCTCACCAGTGGCCCTGCGAACATACACTATCCAAGCTGAGCACAGCCAATTGAACCCTTCCAAGAACCTCCGGCCTACCGACAACTGACCAGTAGGCATTTCATTTATATAATTCTTTGCTCGTAAATGTTCTTGCTGCAGATTGATGTTGGTTTTGATTGGACACCTTTAAAGGATGATTCTGCTGAGTTCGGCCTTTTCTCCTTGTTGTGGCATTGTGCACCAATCTGTGACGGGAGTTTGATGCCAGGACGATTACAACGGTCTTTGCTATGAAAAGTGCAGTTCCTTCTTCAGCAGTAAGCGCTTTGTACATGAAGAAGTTAAAACTCGAACAAGACCTTGAGGAATTACTGGATTTGCTACGGCATTCCAAGGCCGATTGACCTACGGGCAGGGAACGATCCGCACTGGGCCAAGTAGTTGCAACTTGGGTTTGCACCAGGGCACAGTAGTGCCAGCATCTAGTCAGGAAAGCTAGCTTTTAAGGTAAGACAATCTATTTATAATATATATATATATTAAGTTGGCCGTTACCACGGAGGTGACATGCAGGTGCAAATACCAGCATCAAGGCTTTGAACAGGTTCAACTGACATTCGGCTTTTGACATGTGACATGTGCAAACTACAGTAGTTGCTTTTTTGGTGTACTGGACAATTCCGCGAGAGAGCACTAGCAAGAAGCAAATATGTGGCCAGAATGGGTCAGAATGGGCTTTGAACTTGCTTGGTTGGTCTTGCTTTTGAGGCTGCACATGCGGCAAAGGCCTCTTGGATAAATGAATGGAGAGGCATTGCCATGCTGCAAGAAGTGGATCTGGAAATACCATGGCTCGTTGGCTCGCGCAAGGGACGATATGGGTTCAGTGTAAACCATCAGTCCCACACATCAAGTTTTTTAACCCATGGCCCTACCTCCTTAAGTAGGCGCCTACTTAATTAAGTAAGTGAAAGCTACTAGCTAGTTAAGGTACTACCTACTGGACGCAGGAGAACACACGCTTCCTTGAAGAAGCGCTCGCACTAATGATTTTGTTCATATTTTGGGACACTGAACTGAACTGGTTGGCTTTAGCATGTTTTAGCCATTTCTGTGGAGCATTTCAGCTCAGGAACAGGTACTGTAGATGTTTGTCCGTTTTTGTCCAACCCCATATGCATTCCAGGTTTGACCTTGAGTCGCAGTAATCAAAATTGGCATCCACTGGCCTGTCGTGGATCTATTCGCCTCCTTGGAGCATTGAACTGGTTGAGATGCAAGGCTTTTTCCAGAATCTATGCTGTGGCTTGCCCTGGAATGGTCTTTCAGATGCATCCTTCGCAGCTGGGGCCCAAGGGGGACATGTGGTACTTATGCAACTTTTTTGAATGCTGCCACAAGTTGCACCACAAGAGCACTATTCCTGTTTGGGAATATGGCATTGATTCACATCCGGGGCTTGCTAACGAGTAGGGTAGAACAGTGACGCTTGCAAAGGGATTGCAATAGTATGTCCAAGCATGAAAGATATGAATGGATATGATAGAAAGTCTCAATGAGTCTCTTGTGTTTCTGAGCGGAATCTCAGTCGAACCTCACAGCCTTGACTCTTCCAATAGGAGCTTCACCTCGCATTGCTCTGTTGGCTAATGTTAGCTACACCTCTCATTGGTAGCACACATATTAATTGCGATGGCCTCTAACCTACTAGCGATGGCCTCCAACCTAATAGCGATGGCCTCCATCTTACTAGCGATGGCGTCCAATTACTGGTACACATTATCTCTTAACCTTTGTGCTTGCATCTTCTGTTTGCGCTTGCAACTTCTCCAACATTCGCTCTATTGCCTTGCCTTTTCTTCGCCTTTTCAAGAAAAAACAAATCGACGAATAGATGTAGGCTGATAAAAGGTATTGTACGTGTGCAACTATCAAACAAATCGCTGCCTCTTTGCCTCTTTGTGGTAGCATCAGATCAACAACATGTTTTGTTTAATATCTTTTCAAGACATGCACCGAAGAACGACATGTTTGCAGTTGCAGAAAACAGAGCAGCATCCATACTGTACCTCTTGCATATGGGCAACACTAGTCTGTGCTAGGTATATACCACACAAAGTCCATGTGTGTCGCTCTTCCCAGTGGTGTTTGGAAGACATATCAACAACACATTGGTGTTTGGAAGTCCTTTGCCGCAAGGCTTGCTAGATTCCGCAAGTGTTCGCTTCGCTGTTGTTCGCTTTCAACTTTATTTTTGACTCAAATGTACGTCCTTGTAAGGAGTTTGTCCATCGAGAGCCTATCTTTTTTTGCATGACCATGTTAGAATTCCAACGATCGTGCCAGTGCGTTGTCACTCAGGTTGGGCAGTCAGAAGCTGGTGGAGCACTTAAAGATCTGCAAGACCTTGTTAGTTACAGGCCCTTCATACCATTCACGACAGATGTCGTTCACATGATGCCAGACTCCTTCATTCTTAATTCTTGATGCTTCAGACTGTCCTTCAGACTCGTCACCATTTGTGCAAGGTGTCTTGAAGGATGCTTCTCCTGCGATGCTTGCTGGTAGACTAGTATATGCCAACGGCGTAGTTTGCAACCCCATAGGAATTTTCAATTTTGACATCGATGAGAAGGCACGTGCCGACCGGAAGTGTTTTTTTTGGGGTTGTGGGGGCCGGTGGGGTTGTAAGAGCGTTCGGTTTGTGTAACGCTCGAGGATAGGTTCGCGTTGTTGATGGTTTTGGCTCGTTGTTCAAACAGATCATTGGTAACAGATGGTTGGCTCGTGTTGAAGCTTCGGTAGCTCTTTCGTGCGTGATCTTGTTGCGTTTGTGCCGCGTTCCTTCTCCATCTGATCCTATCTGGTGTCCTTTTTCACTGTTGACGTGTGGTACCTGGACACCATTCTGCAGTTGCATTCGTTTCCTCCTGATCCTTTGTTGGACTTCACACTGGTTGTACTCGGATTGTTGGCCGGAGACTGAACTCTTCGTTGCTCCTTAAACTTGGACAGTGGTTTGAACACTTACGCAGAACTCGTGGCATTTCTTGCAATCTGTAGCATCGGCATTATTTGTGTTGAGCCTTCGTTGCTTGAAACCGTGCATGCACTCAGATGGTGCAAAGTCTTAGTCCAACGTGGCCCAAGATTTCGCAGCGTGTCAAGAAGGTTTCTCGGCCTAAAAAAGGCCAAGCCAAGTGCACTGGCACTCAAATCCTATTTTGAGAAAAGTATAATATACATTCCATCAACTGTTCATTCAAAGAAGTCTCATGCCTGCAACGAAGACCGTGTGATGAGTTATGTGAGATCTTAGATGTGAGGAGCAAACCAGAAAGCTGATCTCTGGAAGGCCGAACACTTGTGTCGAAAAGCGATGAGGTGACCACAAGAGCACTGCCTAAAAAGGTCGTGGGTGGGAGCTACGCGGCTTCAGCCCGGAGGGTGCCTGAGAAGGGCCAAAAGAGGCTTCAGCACCTTGTGTAAAACCCAACACTTTTGCATCTTCTGTTAGAGCATGTTAGAGCCAAAACATGTCATAGTTTAAAACCACAGCGTTTTAAGATGTTTTAAGCAGCCTTTTTTGAAAGCCAATGTTTTGAACACCTACAAAAACCCCAGGGTCACTAACCACGCCGTCGCCTAGTATATAAGTACCGCTCAATTCTAGACTACTAGTGACCCACTAGTGGCTCATATTCAGAAGCTATGCCAAGCCTCACGGCCTGCCTACCCTTTCCTGTCCCAAAAAGTGAAGATAAGAAACATAATGTGCTCTAAGCACCGCTGGTCTGAGGTCAAGTCACTGACCCACATCCTCCTGGCATGAGAATCCGCTGCTCTTCCGATGAGGTGAAGACAACACATCTCAGCATTTCATGTTGACATACGCTCGCAGCGGACACTTGTTCCGTGTTGCATTGCAGGCATTCACATGCAGACTTGTTTTCGATTGAGACCACTTCAAATTCAGACCGGACCCGTTTTCGGACGAGCTTACACTGTTTTGTAGAATCTTAGTAGAAACACCACCTAGAGCCCGCCGGCCCCTCCACCTGTTCCCCGTCTAGACAGTCTACAAGGTTTGGGACCCAATTAGGCTGGAGTAGATTGGGGTGGATTACGAAAAAAACTTTTACAGGGTTCTATGGGCGACGCCCTTTGTGAGCTTGAGCAACATCAGTTTTGGACAGGTTTATACAGTAATAACGTACGTTTTGGTGGTGGTTTTGGGATTCTGGCCGTGTTTTGGGTTTCTCGGGCCAGGCGAAACCAAAACTGCAAAAAATGAGGGATTGGCTAAATCAGAAAGTAAAGTGGGTGAAGAAGGATACACATATCAAGAGACAAACGGGCACATTAGTCAGGGGGTGTCCGGGTACCTGGGAAACCAAGAATATCAAAAATACCGTATTGAAAACTTGGCCAGGAGGTTGTCTAGGCGCTTGGTATTGCAGAAAGAAGTTGGGCCAAATCAATGGAGGTATATATATATAATAATGTTTTTACACTGATACATACCATTTCAGATGTGTGAAGCCAAACCCTTGTTTCATATATTTCAAAATCAAAGATTTCTCTTTGTGTCACACGTTCCGGGCTGGGTTCATGATGATGCCTTCAATAGCCTCACGAACAGTGAGCAAACGATAGCAAGAAAAGAACAATATCCAATTCAATTTCTAGAAGAACAGTTCACGAACAACGTCCTTCACTGAAAGTTGTCTTGAAACGCCTGTCACATAGTACTTCTCTGGGCTCCAGGTACCGTTGAGTGAGGTTGCTACACACACAGACTACTTTGTATGCTGTATGCAAAGTCGACACTTATTGTATTTTATAGATTCTTATATATAGTATTATTTAAATAGAATGCGTTTGTGTTTGTCATATTACCCTTCCAGTCTTTGCTAACACCTCGACAAGAAAAACACAAGGTTTGACAGAACCATTTTGCACCGAGTGGGCCTTTGAACACTTTGCCTCTTTATTTCCACAACTTGAGTAGAGGCCTGAAAAATTGCGAGTTTGCGGCTCGGGGTTGCAACGCATGCTCTTCCGATATACACAGCATAGTGATTTTAGGATATTTCAAGTTTGTCAGTTGCTTTAATTCTTTGTTCATGGTTGACATACTTTCCAAGCTGGCCTGATGCAGGAGTTGTTTGAAGGTATTTGCTATTCGAAATGCGCGACTCTCACGGGTGGTAAAATGCCTGCACCCCAGCTAGTTTCGTTTGAAAAACTGCTATTTCAGTCCATACACCAAACCAGAGGCACCTTTGGGATAGCAAGTGACTGTTTGCTTGCTTCGACTCCTTTTAGACAAGTTTGAGCTTGCTGTGATTTGAGTTGGGTCACATCGGCTGATTGTGCCAGAAAGCCATGTCATGGCCAATCGACACCCACAGGACAATGACGATACAAGTACAAGTCATGCTAGACGATACGATTCGCAGTGTATTAGCAGTCAAGTCATGTCAAGTGCTGGCTGCGATGCTGGCTGTGCCGAGGCCACATAGAATAACGTCGCCAGGAGCCAAGTTGATGTATAGAACGGAACGCTGCTTTGCAATCGTCTCATCAGCATGTGTGTTCATTTGCAGGTTTGCTTGTTCATAGTCCTGTTCTTGAGTGTCTAGTTCAAGCAACAGCTGCTGCGATGCACCCTCTCTATTTGTGCAGGGCGGTGTGCTGCAAATTTGATTCAGCTTCGCCACTTGGTCGTGAACAGTGGTGTGATGCTTTCTGTTGTGAACAGAGCATGTTCTGTTGTGAACAGTAACAGTCCGCTGAGGGCTTGCCAAAGTCCCGAGAACGCGGTCATCAGCGTCAACTTGGATCGAAGCCGCGAAATTAGCAATGCAACTCGACCTTTGCACAGACAGCTCACTCTATATAGGTCCATGAAGCTGACAGGTTTCACCAAGAAGATGGTTTAATACAACTGATACTGGTACAAGGGATACTCAGCAAGGATTGGTTTCCATACAGGCGTAGGTTTGTGCTAATTTGTGCAAACCACTTCTAGGTGGCGAAAGCAAGGTTTGCTTATCCCTGAATGGCGGACTCCCAAGGCATTACCACATGCTCCGTATATGAGGACAGGAGGGTGTTGCGGAGCAGAGTAGCTTTTGAATTATAGCCAAATACCTATATATATATACATACTGTCTTTTGTGGCACATCAATCTGACTTTACTGCATATTCATAATTATGAATGTACATTGCACTCCTTTGCAGAGTTTTGCAGTGGAGCATGGTTTGATTGCACAGCTGGTGCTCGCATTAAGTGTTGTTGTTCTTCTTCTTCTTCAATGATATGCACAGTCTTTTTCCTGGAAGGTACTGTAAGACAACTTCTTTTGTGTCTTATTAAGAAACCCAAAATTATACAGCTCGACTACCTGCACCCTTTTCAATCCGTTGGCAAATATATCTATATACAGTATGTACATGTATGTACCCATATTATTACTATGTCTTGAAGTACACGCTCTTCTGGATGTTGGGGGTTTCCTATACTCAAAATTGAAATCAGAGCTTCTTGTGGTGTGATTGAAACGTTGTAGGTAGGCCAACTGCAGACTGCAAGGTTCTTTTAGAGAGACGCAGCTTTGTTGTTTCCACTACGTTGCATACACGTGGAATGACCGAGGAAAGTTTGGGAAACGCTAGGAAACGACATGCCGACAGCCCTCAGCACTGTCCTGCAGGCCTGAGACAGACTGAACAGCTTTGCTGTTGCCGAATATTGCCGAATGCACTTCATACCTTTTTGCTGCGTCAACAAGAAACTTTAGAACCTGATCTTGGCTCATGTGGCAATGGCCCGTGGCCAGATCTGAAGGGCTCTTCTTGCTCAGCCTGTTTTCCAAGCAAAGTCTTGATTTGTAAGTAGCGAAGTAGGGAGTTTCACCAACTCACAGCAATGGTTGGCAATGTCCGCCTGCCTCACGGTTGACATGATGGATATGCTTGGAGCAGCGCACCACCCTTTTGAAGCATGAGAAAGCTGAAAGTTTCATTGTCACAGATTGCTGAAGGCATGAACGCTCGGCACCTTTTCTGGCTTCAGCCAACCGCTCAGCTGTACGACGTGCCCGACCTTGCTTGAGGTTCTGCGAACGCCAACGGTTTGAAATTTGGAGTTTTGACATTTTTCATAACTTCGACACAAGTCGGACGCTTCAATCAGGTTTCCATGATGTACAAATTATGCAAATCCATTTATGCATCAACTTTGAAAATCCTTACCTCAGCCTTATGTAAGCTCACACGGTGTTCATCCTTACTACTTTGCGGCGGTGCTGACATTCTCAGCTTAAGTTTCCCTAATTAAAAATCTAGGAACCAAATCATTAGTGTGAGCGCTTCTTCAAGGAAGCTTCCCCGCCACCTTTAGGGCGACGACGGGGGAGCTTCCTTGAAGAAGCGTGAGCTATCCTGGTTGCAGCTACCTAGCTCCTACTAGCTACCTCTTCTACTAGCTACTTCACCTCCTAGCGGCCGACCCCCCTTAAAAAACAATATAATATATATATATAATAAAACACATTTTTTCTTAGCCTTTTCAAGATTTTCTCTTTGCCTTTGGACCCTGAAAGGTTGGCTGGCCGTCGCCGGTCGTCGCCAATAGCTATGGCAGACGGACCGCATGCGGGTGCACGTTCAGACGTTCCGAGACCACGGCCGAGGAGATCACATTCATGTGGAGTGTCAAATAACAAGAAGCTACTAGGTGTAGGTCATCGCTATTAGGTTGGAGGCCATCGCTCCTAGGAACAACAAGCTACTAATAACAAGGACTCTATTAGGTTATTGTTATGTTCCTGAAATCGTTGTGTGCCTTATTGGAACTTCCTCGCACATTCCTTGTTCAGCCAAGCGGCTGTATTTACAACCTGATTGGACACCAATCCTTGACCTAAACCCGTGAGCTAGATGCCAAGTAGATAATCAGAGGCAGCTGTTGCAACGAGCTTGTAAATCCGTGAAGTTTTCCTGCCCGGTAGATAGGCAATGGCTGTAGATCATGACTAATTATTCAAATGAATCAAACTATTCAAGTTTGGTCCCTGTTCATGGACCTGAATGCAGCATGATCCAACCAAGCACGTCGTCACGGCTGAAACAGGTATACTTAGAATTGATAGTTGCAATTTCAATCGATCGAATTATCACTACAAAAGGTCCCCCCAACTTTGCGTGGTACCTACCCTTTTGTTTGGTATTGATTTGGGGGGACGTCCCCCTGTTGTGCGTGTTGTGTGGGTTTTGTTTTGGATTGTCCTGGAACTATAGCACTCCCTCTACACATTGTGACTGCATCGCAAGGCACAAGGAAGTTATAGACGACAATGCTTGGCTACTCTGCACAGGGTGTACGCTGTAGTCAGTCCTTCAGTGGTAGCGGAGCAGTGATCCTGGAAGAGCCAGGTAAAGGATGAGGCTCAATATGGTGACCGCTGAAAAGTCCCAGCAAATCTTCAAGTAAGTGGACAGGGTGCAACCTGCCTCTCTGATTCGATGTTGTTTGTGGCACTTAGGTTGTGGTTGGCGTGAGGAGGGGGTCGCGAAAGAGAGTTGTGGCTTTTTTGGTGGTGTTAGATGACTGGTGTGAGTTGCAACGCTGGGAAAATTTCGTTGTGGCACATCGTGTGGCCACAAATGGTTTATGTTGACTTTACACTTGACCGATTCGGTCGAAAGAGGCTACGTAATTCGGTAGTGGAGGAAAAAGACATGTTACATGTTGGTCTATTTTCGGCACGATTTGGGCAATGGATGGATGAAACAACATGCTTGGCCGTCACACATGAGAAGCCAGCAGCCACACTTCGCGGGGGATCATGAATCATGAACATCTCCCCACTATACAGCGGCAGCTTGTGCCATCTATCACAATTGATGCATACATACGCGCCTGATGATGGAGAAGAACTGAAAGAAGTCAACGCCTCCAACCAAAGACCAATCAAGAAGCTCAACAAACTTTGGCTTATCGCTCGCCAACAGTTTCTGAAGGTACTGCAAGAGCACCATGCCCAACATGCCAACATCTTGCAGCACCCACTCCGCTCCAGATCCAAGATTAGTCTTTAAGACGCAATGGACTAGACAGATTGATGACTGAGAAGAGCCTGATACGGACTTGGCTTTTGAGCCGCAAACATTTGCCAATAGACATGTGAGAAGAGAGCCAGCAGCAATAGCTATGACGCACATGACAGCAAGGCGCCCCTGGCCTACGGCGGGAACTCATGGTTTTCCCCTATGTGGCGTGACATCGCAGAGCTGGAAGAGGAGAAGAGAGTGTTCTTCACACTAGTCGTCTTGGCCGCAACAGGTATCACAGGTCAGGAGGATATGAGCATCGAAGGACCATCCTTCACAGGCAAAGCTGAAGAACAAGGAAGTGCAAAAATGACTCCAGCAGAACTGACGTCATTAAGTTGAACGTGTCTGGTGTTTCCCAAACCTGCTTTTTGTGCACGCGTGCGCGGGTTCCTTGAGCATGCTTGTGCCGACAACGCGCCCAAGGCGGAACTGATCAAGCAGATGCCCAACACCAAGTCTATTTGGGGCCATCGGCCATATGGATTGGTGCGATGCCTTCGAAGATTGAGCGCTTGGCTTTCGCAGATGTAGCCGCCCAAGCTGTTCATTCAGGGAGTTGCCGTCATTGATAGCGGTGCTGCTTGCAGTCTGTTTGGTTGGTCTTTGGCCTGGGGGCAGAGGGGAGATTGTTGCATTTTGATAGTTGCGTGAAAGATGTACATCCCGCAGCCGATGCATGTTGCCGCTGCTTCACGTCAACGCGTCAACAAAGCCATAAATCATGTTCAGCTGATGTTGCGCTGAAGAGAAATCGCCATCGCTGGTTGCCCGCTTTGCTTTTTATCAGGAGCTACGCCTATGCGCCCACTTGATCACTTCGCCTGTGAGATGCTGATTGTGCTCCACATTCAACGCTGCTGGAAAAGCGTGGCTAGCGCCAAACCGCTTGGTGCTAGTTGCCACCAACCAAGGTGTGTTGAAGGCCGAAGAGCGCAAACAGCTGCTGGGAATGCGAAAAATGCCCTCACTGACGTAAGAGTGAACTAAAACATGAACAAGTAAAAACTGCTTCGGCGCCAACTTGTTCAGGGCGAGCGAGCTTTTGATGGCTGACGTGAGTAGCTGTGGTAAGCGCGCTGCAGGGCGGTGGAAAAGCCACGAGGGAAGACGGTGCGCTTGTCCGTTCTAACGGCCGGCAGCTGGTGGGCTTTTAAAAAAGCACGTATTTGGGGGCCATGCTTGTTTGGGGTGACCATGGGGCTGACAAAGCCTGCGCATCGAAGCCAACCGCTGCGTTGAAGAGTCGTAAGCCAGGTGTTGGAATATGCGTCTCGGTTCCGTGCCACCCTCCAGAGTTTATTCTCGCTGACTTGTTGACTTGTCGGCGAAGCAGGCTCCACAAGCGTATGAAGTCGTGCCCTGCCAAGACCACAAAAGCCTCGCCTTTGTTAAGCGATATTGTTTTGTTGACGTTACCAACGCCGGCAGACATGACTGTAAACGGACGAAGTCTATGTACTGTCATTTCGGCCGGTGTCATTTTTGAGCATCCTTGGAAGAAAAACTCCTGAGCATTTAACCTTTTCTTTCAGGTTTTCTTGTCGCATTTAACTGAAGAGAGCCGGTTCACAGCATCTTGGCCTGTATCGTCGCCTGCGGGAGATCAGTAATCGAGACTCCTGCTATACTTATAAGCTATGAGACTACGTTGTCCGTGAAGTGTGCAATGCGCCGGCGCCTGACCCTGTATAGGAATATGGTGTCACGGTGTCACATCTACTTCTGCGTATAAGTACTTTTTGCTGGGCTCGACCTTGCCGTGGAGCGAAAGCGGATATAGCGACAGACTGGTGTGTGTATGGCGTGTGTTATTATGAACTTGGCCTGGTTTTTTGGGGTGTTGTGGGGGTTTTGTTTGCCTCGGACGCAAGCATCCTGCTTCCTCAAGGTGCTGCTTGCCTACACTTCACAGGGTGTACGTGATAGCCCCCCTTTCACCACACGCATAATTACTTGAGCGGTTGGAGGGTTGTTTTAGAGTAGTGTCTCGAACATTTCCACGCAAGTCTTATTGGTGACACCAGCGCTGAAGCGCCTGCTTTGCTGGTCATTTTCTCTCAGATGGTTGCAACGTATTCTCGCACTTTCGTTCCTGACCACATGTCTACGGGCGGTCATATCAAACATTTCTGGTTGTTTATGCCCTTTGAAGCCTTTAAAGCTGAATCATCTCTTTCGGGTCTTGATGTGTTTGTGTCATGTGAATTGCGCGAGCGCCAGACTGACAGTTCAGCAGGACACCCTCGCCAGTGAGAGCAGTGGCAGAATGCAAGAAAACTCCTGCACCGCCGCGAGATTTCGACCTCACTCCAGCCATTTGGCGTCCACTTTGGATCCCGTGCAATCCATATCAATCAACGCTCTGCAAGGTGCAAATAACCATGGAGATATCTATGGTTTGATTGTCTGCGGCACGCAGCTGGACTGAGGACACCATCGATGTGATTTATGCTGAGGACGAGGAGGTTTTTCGAGAAACCGCCGTCCGAGAGCTGTTGAAGGTGGGATTTCTCAGGCCCGGACGCGGGGTTTGGCAGCGGGATTTGTGACGCGTGATTCAAGCGTGACTGGTATATTATCTGTTTTGACCGGGTCTCGGTTCCTCTTGCCGG